CGCGCTCTTGATACTACATTGGTATAGGAGAACTGTAAATAAAGAAGTGTCACCCAGCAGACTCAGGTGTAGCATAGCTAGGTTGAAATTGGGGAATAGCCAATCCTATTTCTTATTTTTGTTTGCAGGACATACAGTAGATCTATGGAAACATCGGGAAGGGCAGAATGTGTTGCTCTTTCATCAGAAGAGCAAGTCGTCTGCTGTCTGGTTTAATTGCTAATGTTCTTCTCTTCAGCAAATTCATTGTAGCATGAAGAGACTTACACCCCCCCCCTCCCCTGTTCCCGTCTCGCCATTCCAAATCTGTGTTTTGACATCCATGTGCAACATGACACTCAGCCGGTTAACCAAGTGTGCATTTTAGGCGTGAGTGGGGCTTAACAAAACGCCTCTTTGAAGAACTGCATATATTATAACTTTTAACTGACTTGCTCGCTTTTTTCAATGACATCCTCGCTCACCACAAACCCATTAGACACAGATGCATGTGTACGTTAGAAAATAGAGAAAATAAGTTACAAAAAGTATGACAAATAGAAGTAGCTTTCATCGAGATAGCATCGTTGTCTGTATATTGAGAAGACACTCTCATCACATTCTTTACTCATTAAGGCGGATACAAATTACGTTTTAGATAATTATGGCAATGGTTCCCAAAGAATGATTTCCTGTGGAAGGCCTGAAATATTCTGAACTGGCGGCAAATAGTTTCCTTATTTCTGGCTAAATCCTTCATATCCAAATCACGGCACCCTGATCCGATAATCTCATGTTGCTTTTTAACTGTACCTAGCAATATTATGGAGATAGGATCCACACACTTTAGATAATAGAATGTTTGTTATGGGTTCGTTGACTACATTGTGAAATGGCATTTGTTTGACAAGATCCCTCTTTTTGGTCAGCTGAGAAATCCCTAAGTAACGAAGTTAATATTCTCTCATCACTTTCTCTAACCATTGGTGCTCCTCCACATGACAACTGACCAGACTGATGAAGGCACCACAAACATGGAAACTTTCCCTTTGCCCCAGATTTCCCGCACAGTTTAGCCAGAAAATCATAGTCTCCAAAAACAAAAATCTAAACTTCCTTGCCATCCCAGATGATATGCTGTAATGAATCAATCTGATCACGAAAGGAAGCATCAAAAGCAATTTCAATGTTTTCCCGGTAGTCTTTTTCTTCAAACATACCAAAGAGTAAACTGTTAAGCTTTGAGTTTGGATTCTCAAGATTCAACACCTGTAATGACATTGTTAAACGAGCCCCCACCATGACCCCCCCACCCAGTTTTATCCAAATTTCCTCACTTGAAAGGTAGCCATCATAATGTCAGTCGGCCCTGTTCCTTGCAGCCAACCAAAGTTTATAGAATAGAGATGATAAACTACAAATAGTGACTAATGAGCTGGGTACTTTCACATTTGAATCTTCGACCACTTTGAATAAATCAACTTTAGTAATTTGAAAGGAACTATCCAAATACTTATTAAGTTGACACCTCTCTTTGTGTTCCGACCGGAACGTTAATTTCTCTTTGAGAATGTTTTCTACTGTTCTGTACTGAGTCCATGGAAGATTTGTGTGTGTGTTTTGAAAGAAGTACCACAGACACTTGACAAGTTTGCTACTCTATGACCTACTGTCTCCTGTCATGTGTTGTATTTCACCTGAATCTTTATCCTCTGAAAGTAAGGTCCTACTTCTATTTTGCTAATTTATTTGATCTTTGCGGTGTAGCAGGTGGTGATTTTCTGCGAGGCTTTACAAAGCGTGTGAAGCACAACGGTTGTCCTCTTGTCCGGCAAACTAACATATCACTATCCTCTGTATTAATTTTACGCTTTGTAAGACGTGTGTAAATGGCCTGCTCACTACTGTTTAGTGGTTCAAGTAAAGATTTCTTCAGTAAATTACGTTCTGTCATAGATTCAAGCAAAACTGATGCGTCGCTTTTTAAGGGTGATGTACTTGCGTCTACATATAAGGGTGATGTACTTGCGTCTACATATAAGGGTGATGTACTTGCGTCTACATATAAGGGTGATGTACTTGCGTCTACATATAAGGGTGATGTACTTGCGTCTACATATGATGGTGATGTACTTGCGTCTACATATATTGGTGATGTACTTGCGTCTACATATAAGGGTGATGTACTTGCGTCTACATATAAGGGTGATGTACTTGCGTCTACATATAAGGGTGATGTACTTGCGTCTACATATGATGGTGATGTACTTGCGTCTACATATAATGGTGATACTACAGATTCGACCGAAGCAGATGGACTGACCTTGAAAGGAGAAATACGTGCGTCCACATATGACTTCTTCACAGAGGTACTAGTTAACAGAAAATCACAATCAGGAGCTGTTGAACTTGAAAGAAAAGAAGAGTCATCTGACTCTGATATTATATTAGAATTAACTTGGGAGGAGGAAGCAGACTCCCCTAGACAGCAAGAATGGGATACGTACTCTTTATATGTTACCGAATGTAGACACAGATTGCACATCATTCTTAAATTACGGAGCTGTTCAATCAAAACAGACTCGGCAGATTCAATTTCTGAAAAATTATTTTTCATACCACAGGTAGGACATGGCACTGAATTTGAAACAGACATTTTAAAAATAGTCGAAAGACACACAGCACAAAAATAGTGATTACACTTAGTTTTGACAACATGGTGTGTCAAAAAGGACGAACATAATCTACATTCAAACTTCTCTTTATGAGATGATGGCATGCTCTGCAGACTAAAATGACATTTTTCTTGTTTGTTCATCTTGGGTAAAAAGCTGACAGTGCTGTTATCATAAAGAGAACTAAATATATTATCCTGGCTTAAGTTGTAAAATAAAAATGTTTCATTGTGTGAAAAATCTGGTTTCTTTCTGCGACCCCCTATCCCTTTTTTCTGAGACATTCTACATGTACTACATTGGTTACACTCACTGTTGTAGGGCTCCCAAGAGATTTCTCTAGCTCTCTTTGCAGGCATGCCATCATTGACATCTTTTTTCAAATAACCGAGCATTGTCCTGTAACACCTCTGACACATCTTGCTTGGATGCTGGCTGGGGACGTCATCCTGAATGTTAACGGCGTAAACTGTCCAGATAGAGTCCCTGTAAGTGCTACAGTCCTTAGGCTTGGCAGATTTTGCCGACATCTTGCTGCCACAAAAGCGACATAAAGACCGGAGATGATCCATGTGTTCTCCAAAAGTATGCATACTGGAGACCTGGTATCTGTAAAAAGTAAAATGTAAGTAAATATCAGTGTCTGTGCATACCATAGATTAAGAAGCAAAAAGAAGGGTTGACACTTTCCGTAAAGGTGGAGCCAAATCTAATCTCGTCCTAAAATTTAGACAGGTATGACAAAACCAAGTAGAAAAATGATTTTAGTATCCTCATATAATGAATAACAACCTTTTTTTGTAACTCACCTTACTCTCATGCTCCAACACTATCAACATTTCATCACAATAATAAGTTAATGGAGAAATGAAGTGGGTTTATATAGAGAGAAATTATATATATACCCGGTATATATAATATAATATAATATAATATATATTTATATATAATTTTTATATTATCTAGGCCTATGGCGCTCATTTAAAGAATAACTAGATCTAGATTCTATATATAATTTTAAACTATAGAACTAACACACAGAGCTCGATCTAATAACCCAGTTGTACTTACCAGCTTTAAAATGTCCAAACGGTGAATATGTAGGCTTCACTTTTCAACTTCTTATGAAGTGAAGTAAAGCTGAAGATGTTTAACAATGTTGTCTGTACCAAAACCCTGGGAGAACTCTGTGAGACTCACAATTCCTTCACGGTGGTTGGCTTTGTGGGCACTCGGGAGACCGGCTGGCTGGGCCGTCAATTATAAAGCTTGGCCGCGGCAACCCATGTTTAGCCTCCCAGGGGAACAAAAATCCTGACTGGAGTTGTGTGTGGTAGCAAACCACCATCGTGAGGAGCAGGTAGTATAATACACCGCTGTACCGTAGGGTGTAGTATCTTTGGCTGTACTCTCTTTTTCCTTAGTCTAAATGAGTCGGCTGTGAAGACACCATATGTTGCAACCAAGGAGCCCCTTAGCTGTGTGTGAACTGCTTGGTCTGGGGAAATAACCGTAAAAGTTTGTACGGCGGAAAATCGGACCACCGGTTGAACAAATGTTGCCCCCCCCC